GAAAATTAAGAAAGCCCCATTACAAGGAGGTAGGGGAAAGCAGGATTTTTTGCTTTCCTTCCTCTTGATTATCCTATCCTATACATGAACCCTTTAAAACTGGCTCTCTGAACATTGTTTTCACCTCCCTCTTCTCAGCCAAGCTTCCCATAACACTATGAGTTCATGTGTACAAGCTGGAGACAAAAGAGGAAACCAAACACACAACATGAGGACTGGCCAAATGAGGATTCCTAGAAATATTACAAAGGCAAGGTTGGTTAGCATTCAAGCTACTAAGGTTAGATGTTGGCCCTGCGTTCCTCTCAGGGAAGAGAAGAGGGGGTGGCTTTTCTACTCTCCAGCATGAGAGCTTCCTAAGTGAGCCAAGAGCTTTACTCTGTTACTTTCAGTGGGTTCTGTGGCTTACTATCTTTTCTTGGGTCAGCTTCTTATCTATATGATGTCCAAGTAGATGCAATTCAGCCTTAGATGAAAATGAAACCTTCAGCTCTGTGCTCTGTGTGCTTCTGTCATGCTGGAGGGTTAGCCCCAGAGCTCACCTGCAGTGTCCCCACTGCCAGGTGCACAGCCCTTGGTCCCACCACCATCCATGCCTATCTTGGGGACTGCCAGTTAGATAAAGCTGTGACTCCAGGTACCTGCAGCAGTGGGGATGGTGGGGATGAGCATGGGTACACTGCTCCCTAGGCTCTCTCCTTTAGTTTTCACTATTAGAGCTGGTGGCATGGCACTGGCTGCAGGGACCACATCACTGGGGCCTGCACAGCAGTGTACCCTGAGGACCATCAGCTGCAAGATCTTTAATGCTGCTCCATGTCCTGGAAAGGGTTGCACCCATTTCACCTTAAGGAAAAGCCATCCAGTGTTTGTCAGCTAACATGTCACGAGGGACAGAAACAGCCACTTTGAGGAATTTCTGAATATGTGAGCATGTTATTAAAAACCAAAACCAAACCTCAAACCAGCTCAGTGATTAATATACCTGGAAAAAGAAATGTAATATATTGCCCTCTTCCCCTAAGCAGGCCAGTCTGCCAGGAGTGACTCCATAGGCACATGGTGAACCTATCATTACAACCAGCAGATCCAGATAACACTGAGGGACTGGCTTGAGGGTGGGAAGCAGGTCTTCCCTGTCACTTGTAATCTCGTCACATCTGGAGGCATCTTAAGTCCTTTCTAAACACATTGATACTGCCTGAAATTCACTGAAAAAAACCCACCCTTTGTTTGTGTTAACAGGATGAGAAAGTGCAAGGCTTCCTGTTATGTGTGTGTGACAGCTATAGATAAGCAGAGACTTCTGAACAGGAAATCCGCCCAACTTCTGCAGTGTGATTCGTCTGAAGCTTAGGAGCTCTTTTTAGATTGAAGCACCAACAGAATGAGACAGTGCTGGCCAGAAAATGGGGGACACACTGGAGAAGAGCTCTGAAGAACCTGAGATCTCTTTGGACAATGAGCGTTTGGTGAAAATGGGGGACCTGGTGGAAGTCTCGAGTGGTGAAAAGGTCAAGTTTGATGACACGGGTCTCTCTCTGATGCTCCAGAATGGCCTGGAGAACCTTCGGCTTGAAAATTCCCTTACAGATGTCATCTTGTGCGTGGACAGCAGAGAATTCTCCTGCCACCGAGTGGTCCTGGCTGCAGCAAGCAATTATTTCAGGTAAGGCTTAGACTTGAACTGTAGGTCTCCAAGGAGTGTAAGCCGCTTTCTAAACTCTGCAAACTTGCAATGGATCTGTAATTCCTTACGCCTTTCAGCTCAGTTTTTATAGCTGGAGTCTTAAAAAAGGCAGGTGTCAAGTTGTGGATTTGCCGGAGATCCAATACTAGCACTCAGCAAATCTGCTGGAGCCATGCAAAGAAATAGAGAATATCTGTAGACCCTTGTATTGTCCCTTTGGGATTTGGGCAAAGAAGAATATTCATTCAGATCACTGGGTATTTTTATTGTGATAGAAGTGGGTTTGTGGAACTCGCTAATTTTTCCCGTTACCATTCTGGAGTAAAAGTAAAATTGTTGAGGAGGAAAGAGAAGGAACTGTCTATCTTTCCTGGGGTTACCAAAGATCAATTGCAATGGGAAATATTTCCTTGAAAGCAATTTTACCATTTCACCCCCTTCTTCTGGTCCTCTTGAATTTTTCATTCTCCCAACACTCAAAGTGATACTCTATCTGAGACTATTGGCCAGCAAGAACAAATTTTAGACACACAGAGGAACTCAGTATCAGTTTTAACACAGATTTCCCATTATCACTTAGACAATCACATTTGCATGGCTGGGATTTTTTTCTTTCTTTTTTTTTTTTACTGCTAAAGTGGTCAGATGACTGAATAGCTACAGAGGAAACACGAGAAAAAAGAACCTGTGACCACTTGTGACATGAGCAGAAAGCTAATTTTAATGGAGTGTGGTAAGCCATGCTAGTAGTGTCTGGAAGAACAATTCTGCTTTAATCATGTATAATAGAGATTGTGTCTGTGAATGCATGGAAACAGGTATTATTTCTACAGAGAGAGTATATTGCATAGGAGAAAATGTACAACTAAAAGCACAGATACCCAAATATTTCTTATCAGCATTATGTGCAGAAAGGAGAGCAGATGCACAAATTAAAATCAGAATTACCATGATACTTTGACAAAACCCCCCAATTCCACTGTGAGGAAAGGTGCTGCAATCAGATGGACTTCACAGTTAAAATCAGACAAGATAGTTTTTTTATAACAGCTGTTTTTCCACTGAGGTCTGAGCTACAGCCTGTCCCTTGGAAGGAAGGGGGATACCTGGTTGGAGGCCATCTCATCCCAAGGCAATTCCAAGGGTGTGTAAGGTCTGCCCCCCTGGGTGTTTCTGTTTGGCCTGACTTCCCATGGAGTTGAGATTTATTACATCACTCTGTCAGTGCCTCCTGTCATGACTCTGGATTAGTTTCAGTCCCATTTGGCAGAGGATGGAAATCTCAAAACTGAAGCACACATAGCTTTGATGTAAATCGGCAGCTAGGAGTGCAGAGGTGCTGGGACTGGGACCCCATGGTCCCACTGGGTAATGAGCACAGTGTCCTGGACAGGCAATGCACACAGTTCCCAGACCCAGCCAAGGCATGCACTGACCACAGGCAGCCAGCACAGAGCTCAGGCCTCGAGGGGTGGCAGAACATCTGTGAGTGGAATAACGAGGGAGAAGAGAGGGCTCAGGAAGGGGAAGCTGAGCTTACTGTGAGGAGAGAAAAAAGGACACAAGTCTTCAGGGAACTGAGCTTCAATAAGGCAACTTCATTCATCCTGCCATAATTTACTAGAAGTTGGATTGGCCTAAAGAAAGAAGGAATTGGTAAGTCACACTGCTCCTGTGAGTACTTTCCATGCTATTACAGGGCCTCTAACAGCCATGCACAGCAGCAAAACAAAGGGACCCAGTGAGTCATGGGCTTCATTCCCCTGCAACAGCAAGTTACACAACCCCTTCCTGAACATTGGGTGCCACAGTGCAGGCAATCCAGAGCAGCTGACTTAAACACAGTTAAGCAAAGGTAACAACAACCTGCCCTCCCTTCAGCACTGCTTGAGAGCAGATAGACTAGTTCTTGTGACATGTCCCGCGTCTGTAGACATAAAAGCATTAATTCTCCATTTGCTGGGATGAAGTAACAAAGCAGAAAAGAGAAATACAATCTGACCATGGTGGAGCAGTAGTTCTTTCCTGCACTGTCCAAGGTAGTGTGAGAATGGGGCTGGAAGGGGTTGAAGCAATATTTTCCAGAGCATCCTCAAACTCCAGTGCAGTTGTTTGAAGTCAGGTTCATAATTCCAAGCACAAGAACTCCAATGTGGGTGGGAGCTTAAAAAGTGCTTCACAGACTGCAACCCTTCATTTATTTCACTGAGATTGCTACCTGTTTTTTTCTAAATTTACCCTCTTTTAGGTACCTAAATTTGGTGCTGGGCACTCACTTCAGAGGTGCATTTCTTAGAGTACATGTTTGTTCAAAAGTGTAATTTAGAATTACACAGGGGCAAGAACCAGGGAAAAAGACAATTAAATTAGTAGCCACAGCTGAAGGATTCACAGCCTCCTGAGGGTAAGTACAGAAATGTTCAGAAGCAGCATTTTAATCCCTAGGAGAGAAGCTCAGGCTAATCAGCCTAAGTGGTGTCGGACGTTTCCTCCAGTTGGCACACAGGGTGGGAATGAGGACTGCTTCATCTGAGCAGAAGGAAGGCCACAGGAAGCAGCTCTCCTGTTCAGCAGCACCCTATTCAGCCCTGCCACATTCTAGAGAGGAGTACTGGTGGGAAAGCACGGTGCTTTAGATGTGATTTCTTCAGGCTGTAGTCATATTACACGAATCCATACCCTATGAGATCAGGAGTGGATGGCAGCTCCGTCACAATATCAAAGATTAGGAGATAGACAGGTGAAAACACTTTGACCAGATCCCTGTGCAAAGCCTCCATCAGAGTCCCAAGGCTGGTTTCTGAACAGCCTTGCAGAGGTGTAATGCTGGGTATCTCTAACTGACCTCCACCAAACATTCCAGCTTCGTGGGACAGAAGGGAGACTCTCACCTCCCCAACGGGGACGGTTAAATACAAGACTGGAGTCACCAGTTTAAGAGATGAAAGGAAGAAGAGCAGACAACACCTGCACCCTACAATAGTCTGTTTCTCATTGAGATGAAGCATCTGGAACGTATCGATCCCGTGCAGTTGAAATGGCTGTTTGCACTAACCTCTCACTCCATGCTGAAGCCCCATTCCCATTCCCATTCCCATTCCCATTCCCAGGGAGAAGTGGGTACAAAGACTGAAGTTTTCAAACGGCCACCAGCCCACATGCCTCCATGTACATCATTTGACACAGCCAAAAGGGAGAGAAGCTAAATGAATCCCAGTCTTGTGGTCACTGCAGATAAGGAGTGTTTTGTCTTAATGCCTTTGAGATGCTCTGATTTCAGTGGCCGCAGAGACTGGACCATGGGGCAGAGCAGTGAACCAAAAAACCTCTCTAATGAGCTGAAATGAGTGAAGGGAAAATGAGAATTTTGTCTGAACAGCTTTTCTAACAAGTAACTTTTCTGCTCAAGTTTCCTGCTTAGAAGTTAAGTATCTTTATCCAAAAGGCCATTTTAAACACTGAGATGATTAGTACCTTGCTATAAAATTTCTGCTGAGGTAAGGAACAGGTAGTTCTTAGAGCAAGTAGCAGCTGGCATCTTCCATCCATTTGCCATTTGCCATGCCTAACTGCTTTGCAATAAAAACTGTTTACATCTTGGCTCCAGTAAGATGTGTCAATCAGACTGCTTTAATCTGGCACTGCTTTTACAAGAAATGCATGCTGCTTCTCAGGTTGCACTGTCCTGTCAGCATTGTACATGACCAGTAAAGAAGGGCTTGGTATGCAGTCTAAAGAGTGCTTCTAATTACACTTTAGATCTGTACATGCTTTCACCAATGCAGTTACAAGTGGACTCATATAATTCTGATCTGCTGAGCCAGATTCCAAATGATGTGACATCTCGCACTCTGAATGCAGTGAACAAGATGGGACTGATCAAAATCCTAAGTAAAAGCAAAAAGCATTGGAAGAAATACTTATGAATTGAAAATGCAGAGGAAGGTGTGTGTGTTTGTCTTGCAGCTGTCGCAATGCAAAGTGGGTTTAAGTAGCTCTTAGAGAATTTCTGATTTCTATTCCACATGAAATACCTCACTAGGGCCAACGGCGTGTGTGATGGGTGTGATGGTTGCTTTTAAATGCAGTATTATCCACCAAAGAAAAGGTAGCATCAACATGCATGAAATCACTGCACTTTCTGGCTAACAGTAGTTCCAATTCATGACTATTCAAGTACTTCTCTAGTCAAGAGATGCCAACCCTACAATCCTACCAGAAGCTCCCAAAATTCAGCCTCTTAATTAGAAGAAAATCCATAAGCCATTGCCTCTTGCCTAGTCCCCAGTATTAATGTGGTCAAAGATAAGTTGGGAAGCTTAGAAGTGAGGCTATCAGATGGGTGGGTCTGGTCTGGCCCTTGGAGTTCAGCCCAAGAAGTGTTCTGTGGCTCAGAAGCACAAAGGTATTGACCTCGTCAAGGGTTAGGAAGTACATATGCTGAGTGTTAACGAAGTATGGAGAATGCCAGGGGCTTAATGAGCTGGAACTGTCCTAGAAACAGACAGAGTAAGTGTCTGCAAGAGGCCAGCAGGTGAGACATCACAACTGCTCCACAGCATCAGTCCAGACACAGAGAGCTACTCAGGAAAGGTCTCAGCTGCCTTTTGCTGCCATGGAGTCCCAGGTCTACAGTAGAGCTCAGCTCAGGGATATCCATCATATGTGTGTGTGCCTTATCAAACTCCTAAGTACAGAGGTATGAAAGCAAAAAAAACATTTTCCTTGTTTCTTTGCAACAGGACTAATTGCATAAAATATGATGCAATCAGAGCACTCTGTGTTGAAATCTGTATAACCAAATGCTTTCAGAATGCCTCATCCTGGCTAGGATGCAGTAAAAGATGTGTCTTTCTTTTCAGGGCCATGTTCTGCAATGATTTAAGAGAGAAATATGAAGAAAAGATCATACTTAAAGGAGTTGATGCAGAAACCATGAATATACTCTTGGACTACACCTACACCAGCAAGATGCTCATCACAAAGCAAAACGTACAGAAGGTCTTGGAAGCCGCCAGCCTCTTCCAGGTACAGATAACTCCAGCGCAGTCTTGATGCTGTGGCAACACCGTGTCTTACCCTGGTTAACACACTGCAGACCTCTCTGATTTCGTGGGTTCTAGAAGCATTTTCCTTCATATTTACTTACATTGTGGTAAAAAATGGCAGTGTCAGCCACGCTCTGGAATGCTGCTACGCCGAGTGCCGTGCAAACGGGCAAAGAGAAGGGCTCTGCCTCCAACAGGTGCTCCCGTGTGCTGCCTGCCAGGCAACAGGGGTGTGTTGTTGGGACGGTGCTCCCAAAGGCTCGGGTCAACCTGAGAAGACCTGTCACCCTCCAGCCCAAAAGAGTTAATGGACAGCAGCTGGCAGGGCTGAGCAGAGCAGGAAGCTAACTTTGCCTCTCCATCCTCCACTGTCTTGAGATGGAGGCTTGCCAGCCAAAGTTAGCATCCTCCTTTGTAGAATTCAGGACGTAAGGGGTTTTAGTCATGATTTGGGACTTGTGGGAAGTCAGACTTGAGCAGCATTATTCAGCCTTTGGTCCGTAAGATATTCATTTGTCCTGTAAATCATCTGTGAGCTATAACAAATTGCAGTCCCTGAAAAATGCTGAAAATTGCTGACAAATTGCAACCAGCAAAACCTGCCAAGTGCCAATGTGTGTGTGTCTGTGTGTGTGTGCAGTCTTCTAATTAAGGGAGGCAAGAAACTCCTCACTCCATAATGACTGTGGTTCATTATGGACCTCAGATTCTTGAATCTTACATGGGAATTTTGCACTGGAGTTCTAGAACGCTGCTTTCTAGAGCACAAGTCATCTGAGGAGCAGCTGAGGGAGCTGGTGAGGCTCAGCCTGAATTAAAGGAGGCTCAGGGGACATCTTGTTGCTCTCTACAGCTACCTGACAGGAGGCTGTAGCCAGGCAGGGGTCAATCTCTTCTCCCAAGTAACAAGTGATAGAACAAGAGGAAATGATCTTAAGTTACCCTAGGGGAAGTTTAGATTGGCTATTACAAAAAAATTCGTCATTGAAAGGGTCATCAGGCATTGGAACAGGCTGCCCAGGGCAATGGTAGAGTCACCACCCCTGGAGGTATTTAAAAGACATGTAGATGTGGCACTTGTGGATATGGTTTATTGGTACACTTGGCAGTGCTGGGTTAGTGGCTGGACTCAATAAATCTAAGTGATTCTATGAAATGAATTTGTGGCCTTTGGGGTAAGGGGAGCTGGTACTTTCTGTGGGGAGAGAAGAGAAATTTATCACAAAGTGCTCCCCAAGGTAACTTTACAAAGGTGGTGCAGCTTTAATGTCCCCTGGGCCCTGCCAACTGGTAGCACTCAATGGTTAATTTTTGTTCATTTTCAGAATACTTTTCTGTTTTGTTTTTGTTTTCTTCTGAACCTTTTTTCCTTAGAATCATTCCTCAGCTTTTTCTTTTTTTTCACCTGAAAAGCATAAATTTATGTCTTTTAATCTATCTTCCCTGTTTTTCATGAAAATTAATATTAAATTTCATTCCCAAGGCTGGTGCTTTAAGAAAATTATGAGATTCTGTTTGAGTAATGATAAAATCATGAGGGTGCCATAAGTAAGAATAGTAAACTAGAAAAAAACTAGAAAAACCCAGAAAACCAGGAATGTTCAACTAAAGGCAGTGATCCCAAGTCTTACTGCAGCCATCTTCTACAATCAAGATTCATAAGGCCTTAAAGCCTCGTGTTATAAACATGACGGTTTGGGCTGATAATGTGTTTAGAATTTCAGAATTACTAAATCTTTAGTAATCTCCTAAATCAAGCTGGCAGAAGTAGAATTCTGCCAAGTTTGTCTCTGCTGTTTATATTGAAGAACAGAGTTGAAAGAGTCAAAAGTTTAATTTCAATATATCAACAGCTGAGTAGATTATTTCTGCAATTTATTGTAACATTTTTGTTTGGGAAATTCTTTCAAATTAATGATGTGAGAAATCCAAATTCCAAATAGAACCCTTTTTAGCAACAACCTGTGGCGGTGCCTCTTTTTAACTTCACTGACTTGGCAAAGAACCAGAGAAGAAATAACTGGCAGAGTTCTAGATATTCCAATATAGATACTCCACTTTTCTCTAGAAACTATTTTTGAAAAAGTTTTACATAATTATGCCTTCCCTTACTCCCTTTCAGTAAGTTTGACCAAATGCAGTCAAAGCTGACAGCAGGAAGAGGTAGCAGTCATCCCCACTGCAGTGTGCTTTCCCCTGGGGGAAGCAGGTGAAGGGTTTGGAACAGGGAGCTGCTGAACAGCTAAGCCTCACTCTCAAGTGACCCAGACAAATTTTTTCCACCTAAAGCACAGTTGCAACATGACTTCAACAGTTGTCACCTCCGTGTGGGTTGGTGGCTCCCCAGCCACTGCACTCGTGAGACTGCTGCCCACCCCGAATCCAGCCCAGCACCCTCTGCCACCCACACTGTCTGCAGAGCTGCTCGTCCTTTCACCCCTGGGCAGAGTCAAGATCTCAGCTGCTCCTCACGGCCATGGCAGAGAGCCCTGCTTCCCCCACGGTGCCTCAGCCACAACCCTCAGACCTGTTTACAGCTCCTGCCCTGCCAGGAGCCCCTGTCCGACCCCATTCCCTCAGCATGGCGAAGGGCCACGTCGGCTGCTGTGGCACAAACAGAGAGAGAGGAAGGGAAGCAAGCCCCTGAGCAGACGAAAAAGAAACAGTATTGTTGCCAAGGGTAGTGATGCTCACTACCACGAAAATGCCACACGCAGCAGGAACAGTGGAGGATGCCCTGAACTGCCTTCCCTAAGCAGAGCAGGGCTGCTCTGCCACCAGTCTGATGGCCTTATTGCCTCCCAGAGCACCTCTCACCCACTTTCCATGAATACCTTGCCCCTATCTGACAACCACTGAGCAGTGCAGAGCCAGGGTGGCTGTCACCGGACAGTGCCAGTTCAGTGCAGCCCTCGCCTAGTGCCAGCCATGACAAGAGACCACAGTTTACTAAGAAAGGGCTTTTGGGCAGCTCTGGGTGGGAGAAGGTCTCACAGGTTCAGAAAGCCATCAGCTCCCTGGGCAGCTGCTCTGCAAGGGTGTCTGTGCCCCTGCACTGCCTGGCTGGCTCCCTTGGGGACAGATGTCACTGCTGAGCCAGGACGAGCTGGCCCTGCAGCCACAGCAGAGCAGGTGGCTAAGGGCTGTGAGCTGCAGGGTGCAGGATCCTGCCCCGAAGTGTGCTGCATACAGAGAGGGATTAGGAATAAGAGCTTTTTCAGCCCTGTTCCCTTCCCTTTCTGGGGGCTCTAGCAGGAGGCAGGGCTGCTGGCACCGCTTACACTACACCATTGAATCGAAGCTGGGACAACTGAGGACTTAAATGGGGAGGATACATTTTATTATTCAGAGAGGCCATGTGGAGGCCAAGTAACCATATGGGATGTCTCTAGTAAATAAGAACCTGGATTCAAATGGGTATTAGGAAAACAACTCAGTTGTTGAAGAAACTGTTCCCAGGGAACAGGGCTTTTAAAGTGCTCGGGTTGGCATCGGAGGGGAAAGAAGAAAATTCAGAGCTCTGCCAGAACAATCAGAGCAGATGAAACAGAGGCTCAGAGGTGTCTTCCTTCTGGTGCTCTCTTGAGTCACCTGCTCTCCTGGGACCGATTGATGTATGCCCAGCAAGTTTGGGGGGAGTTTTGGGGGGAATTTTGTCTCTAAATGAAGGCAGAGATGGGGAGACAGTGCAGCCCAGAGAGGAGGAGCAGGAAAGTACTGCCTTGATACACTCCTGAGTGATCTGGCCTCTCTGGTTAAGCCCTCAGTGCGGGACACATCTCACACTCACACCTTGCAGTTCTGCATTCGGGGCACAAACACAGCTACCCAGCATGGTTAGTGGGTCTGTGTGGCCATCAGACCAGTGTGTGCCACCTGTGAGAAAATTCTCTGATGGCAGCACTCAACAAGCCATGGCAAATCATTAGAGCACTCTACAGAAGTTTGCTGTAGGTTGGCGAGAACACTGTCTTGGGGTCTATTCCCAGACTTGTGGATGACTTATTGAGTGACCTCGGCAAATCCTAGGTTTGTTTTCTTTTTGTCTCAGTACTGACAACTTTTAATGCTTATGCTTAGTAAGTTTAATAAGGCTAATGCTTTAACCTTCTACCACTGCTTGGTGGCAAAGTCTTTTCAGATCCTCAGGGAAATGCACTGATGAGTTCAAAGTGCTTGCCCTGTGCTAGCCCAGAGAGCAGGCCATGTGAACGTGTCAGGCACCTAGGGGCCACCAAGGTCTGCTGTGGTGCCACCATGTGCCGCTGACATATTTATATCACAACGGAAGCGACATATTCTGAGACCTTACATACCCTTGTTCATTAGTCAGTTGCATTTCTCTAAACTCTTGACCACATCTAAATGTAAAACAGGAACCAGGCAGTCTGTACACAGCGTCTGTGATTGCTCAGCTCTGATAAACAGTCTAAATGTGTCAACACAACACCAAAGGGTCTGGAAGATTCTACCCTTATTACTGAAACAAATCTACATACTTCAGTGTTTAAAAGTGTTTCACTTCCTCTTTGCCCCTGAATTACTGTTGTGCAACTTTCCCAGTGAGACAGAATGATTTAAAATGGTTTGCTTGCTGACACTAGATGGAAAAAGGACCCAAAAAGCATGGACGGAAATACATAGCATCATTTCTGACCCACCTTTCTCTATGTTGCTGCTTGCACTGCTCAGTGGCAAAACCAACACAAAGGACTGATGCCCTATCAGAGGCAATAGACAGCCCAGGATGAAGCACTGTAACGTCAATTCTACCCCAAACTGGTTCCCAATTCCTGAATAATCACCAGCAATCCAGCTCAGATCATAGTTCATGGCAAATGCCCTGCAGACGTCTGTGGCCTAGGATCTGGGACCCTCAGGTGGGGCCATTGTGCCAAGGGGACTCATGAGAGTGGTTATGATGCCCTAGTGAATGCAAATACAGCCAGTTCTTCAGTTAAACAGACTGTGTGTAAAACACACGTCCATATATTTTTCAGCCAATGGTGATGACAAGGAAAACAAACATCCCATGGCCTCCCCCATAACAGGCACTTGCCAGACAAACCTGGCTATGGGGCAACTCAAAGATTTTCTGATCTCCAACCTCTTCCTGCCATGTACCCCAGCATGGGACAGCATGCCCATACCCTCTGTAGGGCTGGCACTATGGTTCAGACCTCCCAGACCTCAGCACTGATTTTCCACCACTCTCGGCAAGGCCTCAGACACATTTGGATTTGGGATGGTGGGAGCATAAATGCTGAGTGTGGAGCCACCTTCACTCCAAAATCAGACTCTGTTTAGTCCGAGCTGACATGCAGGATGAAGCAGGGTAAGCACATCAGAAGCCTGGGGACCTTATCTCTGTTTTGTAACTCCAGGAATGCCAGTGCTTTGAGAGCTTATGGAGGGAACGGGTATGGTAGGAAACCCTTCTGTGAAACAAATAAAATTCATTACTGTCACAGGTCTTCTGCATCCTGCAAGAGTGAGAAGGGGTAATATGGATGCAGAGGGAGAAAACACAGCGTGAGGAAGAAATTCTTATTTCAGACTGCAGGTTCTGGGAGATACCGGTCATGAGATGACCAAATTCTTGTCTTCCTCAGTTCTTTGCTGTATTGAGCATGGCTTGTTGGGACCCAGCCCCAAAGCTTCTGTGATACAGTCATACAGTAACCAGTCTATGCTAATACATGTTTTTTCTGCCCACAGTTCCTTCGCATGGTAGATGCTTGTGCCAATTTTCTTACTGAAGCCCTTCAGCCGGAGAACTGTGTTGGCATCCTGAGGTTGGCCGATGCCCACTCCCTACACAGCCTGAAACAGCAAGTGCAGAACTACATTATCCAGAATTTCACCCAGGTCCTGAACTATGAGGAGTTCCTGGAGCTGCCAGCTGACATCCTCTGCAGCACACTGAAGAGTGATGACCTCTATGTCACCGAAGAGGCACAGGTGTTTGAAACTGTGATGAACTGGGTTCGTTACAAGGAGTCGGAGAGATCTTCTCTCCTGCCGTATGTGCTGCAGAACGTCCGACTGCCTCTCTTGGACCCTTGGTATTTTGTGGAGACTGTTGAAGCTGATCAACTCATCAGACAGTGTCCAGATGTTTTTCCATTGCTCCAGGAAGCAAGAATGTACCATCTGTCAGGCAATGAGGTGAGTAAAACAGGATGCTGCTCTTTCTAAATGTCTCATGCTTCTGCTCAAAAATCCCATCGGAAGGAGCAGCACCACGGGGCACAAAAAGGTACCCACACTGAAGTTTCACAAACTGGCGCTGCTGAAAAGTCAAGATGGGCCTCACTACTTATCCTGCTGATTTATGGAGTTTCGAAGCTTACGGTAGGCTGTTTGTTTTAAACCAGTGTTCAGTCAGAGAGTCAGAGGAGGGCAGGAGAGCTCAGGAGCATGCTGTGGATCCATCACTAACAGTGGATGTGTCACTGGCAGGGGGAGAGACCGAGTGCTCTTTGTGCCGGTGACTGCGTAGGACAGTACAAAATGACCTGAGGCAGTGCCTACTAGTCTGGTGGGAACTCCCTGAGGAAGCCTTTTTCCACTCAGCATTGCTATCAGGTCCATGTGGGATAGGTAAAGGGAATGTTGCTCTAGGCTGAACACTCCTTGCACTCATCTTCAAAGGAGAGCTATCAGACACCTGACACTGACAGCTGGCAGGGGTGGAAGGCAGCTTAAAACAGAACCCTGAAAGCTGGCAAACTCTGGGGCAGAGGTTTTTAAAAAAATTACCTAATAATTTGCTAAACACGGTCAAAATGCAAGATTAATGCCTGTGTAAGTAATATTTTTAATATAGATAAATTATGCTGATTTATAGAAACATGTTAAGAGTAGAAAGAGAAGTAAAACTGTAAGCAAGTTGCCTCCTGGCACAGCATTCAATGTGTGTGGATGCTTCTCTGGGGCATGCACATGGGAACAACTGCAATTACTGCAGAGAAGTGCACACTTCTAGCAGACTTTGAGGGACTGCAAATTGCCAAATGCCCTGTGATACAGCAGAAGCAGAGGAACAACTTTATGTTCTCCCCATGCCTATTACACTGCACTCCTTCCAGTATGAAAAATTAGAGGGGTGGGAAGAATAAAGACGGTAATTCCTTCTTCCTTCAGCATGGAGCCAGCATATCTCAGGATGCTAATGCAGGCATTTTCACTTGCTTGTGTTTCCTCCAAGCAGAGCACAAGTTTCTAAGCACCCCATGCATTCTTTGCTCCTGGTGAACACCTGCTTGTGAAGTGACTTATTCCAGTGCCCCTGAAACAAAGACCTGGTCAACAGACTAAGCTGACAGACAGTAAATTAGAGCTAACCACGCTGCAGAGCCTGGTGCTAGTTTCAAGTAGATCTTCTCATTTTGTCTTGAAATAGAAGCTTATACACAAAGAAACAGATAAAAGACTTTCACAGATGAGAACAATTATTGCTTTGACACTCTAACATATCTCTTCCAGACAAATAATGAGGGCACTTATTTTCTGATAGCACTAACTGCAGTCTTGCTCTCTCCAAGCTCCTCAGGGCATACACAAAACCTTGGGGCCCTCCTACCTTGCCCTCACTCTGTCTGTCCAAATAAAACCTTTCCTTTTCAGCTGCCTGACATGCACCCAGCCTTGTCACTACTGTTCACCTTCATAGCTCTTACCATAGCCCTGGTAGCTCCCAAAAGGATCTGAAAGGATCCTAGTGGGTAGGCAAAAGCAACTAGGTCCAGAGTTGAAAAAATCCT